GGCCGCGCTGAGGCCACACCATCCCGGCGCTTCGCCCTCCGTCTCCCCTCGCTGCTTAATGAAGAAAAAACCGAACATCTAAAGGTGGTTGCTCCATCCGCTGCAGTAAACAGCGGCTATTTAATTCGAAAGGTGCTTAACTTGCCATCGGACTTCCAGAAAGGAGAAGACGTAAAATGCAGGGGTTTTTATCTTTGAAAATCTCCTCAGCAATGATTTGCTCGGAGTCACGTGCCAAAACTGTGGGAATGGAAAGCCCTTTGAATCAAGCCCTAGAAAAAATCCGATTACAATTTAAGCCCTTTTCCCAAACTTGTTCCTCAAAGTTAAGTTGAGGTACAACAAGCGATAGGCCAAGAGGAAACGGCCTCAAGTTGTGCCAGGGCAGGGTGAGGTTGGCCATGGGGAACAATTCCTTCCCCTTGGGGCTGTCAGGGGCTGGAAGGGGCTGCCCAGGGAAGGGGTCGAGTCCCCAGCCCTGGGGGGATTTAACAGCCGGGCAGAGGCGGTGCTGAGGGCCAGGGTTTGGGGGTGGGATGGCAGGGGTAGGGGAACGGTTGGGCTGGGGGAGCTTAAAGGGCTTTGCCAACCCAAATGATTCTATGATTCTATAACTAGCCCCTATTTTTCAAGCTGCCTCATACTGGCCTGCCTGTTTGACCCACCTTCCACAAAGCCTCAAGTAATTCAACAGCAAAAATTTGTGTCATTCACTGTGGTTCTTTGCACATCACAACTGGCTACAGTGTCCAGTGTCCAGAGAAATCAAAAATAGTATCTTGAAATCCTCAACATTTTCTCAGCCACTCATTATTCAGCAATAACTTTCTACTCCTGATTTCAGGAGATGTATTTCTGATAGAATGCTTGCCGGTTTAAATAGGCAACTCACAGAGAAGTGGAATTCTTGTTAAGAAAACCCTGGGAAGGCTTAAGCTGACTTAAAACTGTACCAGATGCTATTGTTCCTCTTTTAGCTTCTCACTATGAATATCTGGAGGGAAGCTACTAAGGCAGCACCATCTCGGTCTGTCCTAGCAATGTGGTTACACAAAGGCGGTTGGTGAAAATTAAAGAAGGAAACAGAGTTGTGTAGACAAAACGCCCAACATACCATAAATCCAGCAGCACCAAATAAACATTGACAGCAAACAAACATGCATTTTATTACAAAGAGCACATAATGCTCATGAAGCATAAAGGCAATTACAAGTAATATGGTAATAGGAAACTTAATGAAGGACTGGTGTCTTTGTAACTAGGTGGTAAAACGCCTTTAAAATGGACTTTGTGAACGGTAACACTTATTTTCCAAAGCACATTTAACTAATCCAACTGGCAAACCATTTAACTTTACTTCATTTGCTATTTCAAACTTATAAAATCAGCAGTCAAGGCTCAATGCTGTAACACTGCCTGAAATCAACAGTCCATTGAATATAGTCTGGAGATAAAGAGTCGTGGGATGCCTACATTTGTACTGTCGTCGTCTTTTCCTCAAACACTGAGCAATTTGTTATAATCGCTTATGTATTTCCTAACACGTAATTTCATTTCAGAACAGTAATAATGCAACAGATGAGACCACACTGTTTGTCAACCTCTTATACTTTTCCAATAGCACAGTCATTATTCCAATGGCACTCGCCCACAATAGCGAGCTGTAGGTTCCCCAGTTCCTGGGGATTCTTTTAATCAAATTGCTGAGACTAAATAGTTAGGCATATAACTGTGAGTTTAAATGACCCATCAGCAAATCAGTCCCTGATGCAACTCCATGGACACCTACAGGTTGCTCCATCTCTGCAACTTCTGAGGCTAAGTTGGTTAATGGTACCTAGGTGGCACAAAACTGCTGCATTTCTACATTGCAGTGGGCACAGAGGCCAGGCTAGAAAGCGACTTCCAAAGCCATCCTCTCTAACATGGATTGGGTGACAGAGGGCAAGCCAGGAGGGAAAAGAGATGGCCCACTGCATCTATAATTATGCAGAAGAGTAATCACGAAACCTCGCGATGCGGGTGTGGGATGGTTACAATCCTTATTTAAACAGAGAAACTATGACAGGAACCAGGGAGACTTTGATCCACTGAGAGCAACTTGTTGTTGTTGTTGTTGTAGGGTTCTGCTGATCAAAGCATTTAACAAGTATCTAATCATACCCTCATTTTCAGGGAGCAAACAGCAAGCAACCATCTATGCTCATGAGCAACGTGTCATTAAAGTGATTAATAGATTCATTCACAAGGCAGAAAACAAATATTTCTACTCTCAGATTTTCTTCTTACCTCCACAACTTCTTCATATTCTTCTTCCTCCATTTTGAGGGTATTCTTCTGTCTCCCCCACTCACTGGTCACGCAGCAAATGAAAGTGTGAATAGACAGAATTAGCCCAAGACTGAAAGTACTATGAAGAGCTACTAGTCAAGCTCATAAAGCACCTGGGACGACCGGCAACTAGTCAGATTATTACAATGCTGTTGGCTAATCAGTGAAAGAACTTAATAAGAGGGAACTAACGTTGGGATCTGGCATTACTTCATTTCTGACTATTATGGGAAAGCACTGGATTAAATTTCAAACACACTGGTAGAAATTAGAATTTTGGACAAATACTTTTTTCTAGTCATAACATCAGTACTGGAATTCAATGAAAATAGAAAAAGAAAAAAAATAGAGGAAGAGATTTCTTGAAGTATGATTTGATTTTGAAAATTATTTGAAGAATTTTTCTTTTCTCAGCCAGTATTCTATACTATTTCATTGCATTATTCAAGCTCCTGTTTGAATGGGAGCTTTATCTGTATATTTACTACACTCATTCACAAGTAAAAGCATTATATAGAAAAAGATTGTAAATATATTTTTTTTAAGTGACCTTAGGTTAATGAAGCAATTTCTGTCTTCGCAGCATTAGCCTACGCAGATGCTCGAGGGTTTTTTTTTTTAGTTCTTGTGGCTTTTTTCTCTCTATTTCTTCAGACCTGGAAAATATGAAAATCCATACAGTTGGCTGAATTACAAAGTACAGATTACTGTCAAAACCTTTAAATTAATTAATTAACACAATGATTTTGCTGTGAGGCACAGCTACAATTTACCACCAGAGACTACAGCCCTGTTTCTAATGTTGGTAGGGGATGAGGCTTTGGAACAGCTGTTCCTGAGTCCAAAGATATTTGCCGTGTAAGCTAATACTACCAAATGACGGGGTGGTTTTGTTTAGCTGGCTAAGCTGCAATTCCTTCTGAGGCAAGCGAAGTCTAGTAATGCAGGTTAAATATAGGAACAGAGAATACTGTCCCTTTTTAGTTCCAATGTGCTGAGAAAAATTACCCCCCAAAAGATCAATCTGTTAAACCAGAATGTTAACTATTAAAATAAATGAAGAACAACTCAATTAATTAAGTGGCATGTCATGTGAAAAAGTAGGCCAAAATTTATGGATAAACCCAAGTGGGGGGTTGTATGTAAGGATACAATCCATACAACCTGTCACTATTATAATCTTCAGTTACACTTCCAAAACACGGTTCCAGGTCCTTTCCTCTTACTGCAGTTTGCAGCTAGTCATCCAGACAGAAAATCTGACTGCCATGGGCAAGGCACGACTACTACTCCCAAAAAACTACAGAATCAGAAAACAGCTCGAGATCCTATTCTAAGGAAAAGAAGTCAAACGTGATTAAAATGCTCTTACCAGCAACATCTAGTAAATATCCATAGGAGCAAAGCCTCTCCAGTCTTCCCTCCTGAGCAGCACTGGGCGAGAGCGAGCCTGGTGCATCGGCTCCTAATTACGTGTGGGGCTAGCACAGCCAATCTGGCTCCAGCCCGCTCGAGTTTCAGCCCTAAATATACTCGGTGACCCCGCAGGGGGCCACCTGTTCTCAGCAACATGAAGGAAAAGGGAGCTGGGGACTTCTGTGCTCCCAAGGAAACCCAAAACACACCAGAGCTGGACTGAGCTTCACCAGGTCTCTGCTGAAATGGATCCCTAGGCAAATCCAAGGGGGCTATCAAATGGGAAAAAAAAAACCATGAACATTTTCTTCTTTCAGAATTTATAATAATGGTTAATTTGAATTAACAGAGACAATTTCATTCCTATGGTGTGCCTGAATCAAACCGATTTGAATTCAAGAATCTCTGCAGAGAGAGGAGTCGGGACTTTGAACTAAATTTTTAGAACTAAATTTTTAGTATAAGTCTGTCTTTAACTTCATCCCTTAAGTATCCCTGAAGTGCTTTATCAGCTTAACTTGGAGCAAATCACATGTCATCAGTTTTATCACTTCTTATGACTTGTTACACAGCTGAACACGTGGACCTGGGAGCATGTAAAAACTGACTACTTGCAAGGAAAAGCTCGCAAGGGACGCAATTAACAGCCAGTATGTCTGGTGAAGATGAAGAATACACGATAAACAGATTAAGCGACAGGGCAGCAATTCTAATGTACAAAGTATTTTGGAAGGTCAAAAATTATGTGGTGTATGGAGTAGAATCACGGTGATGATAACAGAACTGACCTCTTAGGCCATCTAGTTGACTCCCATAATGGGATTGTTTAGTTCTTCAAGGAGGTGCATTTACAAGGCAATACCAACAATGACCTCTTTTCATATACTACATCACATAATTCAATAAACGATTGTCAGGAGCCCTTGAGAGACACCTTCTTGTGCCTTAAATCTTTCCAGAAGTGAATATTTATATCCAGATGAAATATCATATCTCATTCATTACTGCCAAGTATTTTATACTCTGTACAGAGCTGTAGGTCTGCCCTGTTCTCCTTTAGGCAAGCTATATGATTTAAATTATTTAGCATTTTGCTTTACTAGCCGATCCTTCCCCTTTTAATCTTATTTCTGTTTATTTAAAAGTCCTTCGGTTTTTTAACATCTTTTGAAGATGTCCAGAAATGAATATAGCATGTTGATGGGATCTCAGGAGATCAGTGCCAGCTTAACCTTCTGCTCTCCAATCCAGATCCTCTGTGTGTGCAATCCACAAATAAGTCAGTCATTTTTCTCCCAAGTACTGCTTTTCCGTTGGTTGGATGCACGATGTGACAGCTATGTAAATGATGAGAAACCTTTGTGTAGTGAAGGACTCATTTTTTTTTTTAATTAAATATGTAATTCATTAATGTTGTTTCCAGCTCAAATCTCTGTGGATGCCCAAATTAGTGCCATGGCCAGTGACTCATCATCCCCCTCCTTGGTTCTTTTCAGCTATCTGGGTCCACGGCCTCTTTTTAGGACGTAATGGTTGCACTTTACGTTGCTTTTCCTGTAAATGGCCATTCCCCCGTAGTCACTGCTACAACACTGGATATCATTATGCCACATTCCAATCACCTGATTCAAATCAGGTTCACTAGATCAACAGCGGCTTGTATTCCTCTGTCCTGATGGTTATGCTGACAAAATTAGCAAGCATTTTCAAACGGGATGCAATTTGCTGTGCAGTTCTCTTGCAAGTTCCTGTAAACACTCTCTCCCTTAGCGATATCCTCTGCAACGCCTCGTTTACTAGAGCATCACCTTCAGGTTCTGTTACGGTGCTGTTCAATCTATCTTAGTTAGAAAGACACTAAACAAGGCCGAAGTCCCGTGCAGGCTGCAAGCACCGCTTTTTCTGCTCCTGAAATGCAGCTGTCTTTGGTGTGAAACATGGCAGGTCTTCAGCAGCAGGCAGTTCAGGGCTGGAAACGAAGCACGGAATAACCAAAAAAATTACAGAAGGAGTTTAAGAAGCAGAAGTAGTATCGCCAAAATGAAAAGTTGGACAGAACATAAGATTGATGTTCTGACATCAGAACACGAAGAGGGAGGAGAGGACTCTTAGGTCACCCACAGCTGCCAGCAAATCTTTCAGTTCTTACCTTTGCTGCTTTGCTCCTTCAGCTCCAAATCTCGGGGAACGACTCCAACAAAGCTATCACCACTAGCTTCATTTTTGTTTAAAACTGAAAAAAAACCCAACCCACTATGTTTTCTGCAATTTCTACTCAAGTCCACAATGGGCTTTTAGTGGTGAAAATCTAGTGTTCATTTGCTTAAGTGCTTTTATCTGCATACAACACATACTGATAAATGGATCTGTACACACCTGCCTCTATATAAATAAGTTATTTGCATACTTATATATAGTACCTGAACACATGCACGCATATCTTCACGTATGTCTATACATTGGTCCTCACTGTGGCAATAAACTACTATGCTCAGTGTTACATTCCATATCGTTCACTTCTCAGGGCCGTTAAGATGTCAGTGATACATATTCATACCGAAATATCAGCACGTGTTGCACGCTGAAGTAGAACATGCATTAGGTAAATGGAATACTAATGGTTAATATTCCTTTAATTTTTAATTTTTTTTAATTGCTTTCTTGTGAAAATTTGTGGCTGCCACTTGGATTTCAAGTCACTGTTTGCTGGAATATTCTGAGAACACCCACTTGACTTTCTGGGGGACAAAGGCTTCAGAGGCGTTAGGAAAATCCTGCTGCAGGTGCTGGCCTGGCAGCTCTGACACAGGTTAGCACACCAGACCGGCTTGTTTCATCCACAGGACATAAATATGCATATGCTCAGCAGTTCTGAACAAAAAGAAAGACAGAATGGTGCTAGATGGCTAAGGTGGAGGAAGATGATGTTTTGCATTTAAACAGCCCACAATTTTAAAGCAGAAAATATTTTCTTGTACTTAACTTTTTAAAATATTGTCCTGTTTATCAAACTGTAACCACTCGGGGCAGGGGGAAAGGAAGGAAATAACATATGGCCCTCTCTGGATTTATTTAGGAGCTATATAACGCAAGATGATCAAATAGCAGCCTGCGTGTACTGACTCCCCTAGCCCCCACAGCATTCACATGCAAAAACTCACTGCTTTTTTCTAGGACTGCATTTCGTTCCTTTTGGGAGGCAGCTTTTCTTCCACCTGTGAAAAATGTGTAAGCTAATGCTGGAGCCCGATCAATACAGAGGATCAGAGTGTAAGGGCCCCAGGGCACCCACGCTGTAGCCCCCTCACCCCCAAATTGTTGCAGAAATTCTAGTTTTCTACAGCCCCCCTGCTGGTTAGTGACATTCGGGTATTGTCTTGATCATTCATCCCCTTGTATTTCTTTTAAAGTGCATCGCTCTCTAGATTCCAGGGTAGAGTTTGGCAGAATTTTAAGAAGCCGAGGCCAGATCTCACATTGTGAGGCGCAGGCAGTACATACCACCGAGCGGCAAGCCTGCAATTACTGCCTGAAGATGATGACTTCAAGGCTCCAGAGGCCTTTCTATCCATCAT